TGCTTTTTTGTGCAGAGGAGTTTTTTTGTTTCCTGTTCTCATGCTGTCCTACCATGGAAGCACAGCATGAGTAGGGGTCTCTTTTCCCCCCCTCTTGTACTTTCCCCACTGTAGTGTACATTTCAATGTTTTTTTCTCTGATTCTACCAATCTCCGACCTGTATCCCCATGTAATGTTTGTGCTATATGTGTAAGGTCGGGGGGGTCCCATTTCACTGCAGGGCAACCTGCATGTGACGAATAAAGCTTTGATTGATTGAGAAAAACCACAGAAATATCTACCCATTTACCTTTTTCATTTTTCCAGGTGTTGGAGTCCCTCCTATCCGCCTTTTAGACGGGGTTTTCACCATCGTTCCATACAGCATTTCCTCTTGCATCTGCTTAGTTTTCTTCATTTGCTATTTTCCAAAGAACAATGCATTTAAAGAAAAAAAAAATGCACTGGCAAAACTACTGCTACAGGGAAGTGAAAGTCACGACAGAGTGTGTCACAGCAATAACCTCACATACCCTTTCAAGCTTCTCCTTCTCCTTTTCATTGTGGTGTTGATCCCACTGCTGCTGCACATAATCGAGGAATTTCTGTCCATTCACCAGAAAATCTTTACCATGCTCCTGCTCCCAAGCGTCGATTTGGGCTTTCAGACTCTTTTCCAACTGAAAACAAGCATAAGTTTTTATGTTGTCACAAAAAGGGGCCTTATTACATTTACTTCTCTTATATGTACACTTTAAAACAAAAACAAAAACAAAAAACAGACACTATTGTGAAACAATACCAATAATTAATAATGAGGAGGGAGTCTAATGTGAGAAAAATACTGCACATTCACCCAGTGTATATAGTTCTTCCTCTACACCCCCCCCCCCAATTTTTGCACATGTCGAGGAGCGTGTCAGGCTACATTTCACTGTGTGTTATACTTGTATAACTATGCATGTGACAAATAAAGAACCTTGAAATCCCTGTGAGCCAAAACTCAAGGCTTCAAACTGCACTCAACTGGTTTTTTTAAAGACCGTGTGGGCCTGAAGTAAGGTAGGAAAGATTACATCCAGTCATCACGGACATAATGTCAGAGTAATTTTGAGCATTTAATGATTTGCTCTGAACTGTTCTTTTTCCAGAGAAAATCCCAAAGCAGTTGAACTCACACGATATACAGTTGACCATAGACTGCAAGGCAGAAATGCAGTGCCACCCACCAGAGGCCCTTTGCTGCATGTGTCCCCTGACTAGGCCATCTAAATAAAGCCCATTTTGAACAGCAAAATTAGTAGATTGGATTAGTAGAGCTCAGCCGATTCCCTTTTAACAGCTTCTGCACTGACAGTGGACTTTCAGATTACATCAATTTCTGAAATGCTTTTGATGAACAGACATATGCACCTGAACCAGAGAGTGACAGTCATTTAATATCCCCATCTGTTGGACAAAACCTGCAATACAGCAATGGAGTTTTTCTTCATCTCCTTTTATTTGCCAATTCATCCAATATGACATCTTTGAAATGTCTTCTAAGAAAATATCTTACAGGCTGGCATCTGCTTACAGTAATGCTATTTTTACTGAAGCAGCATAGAAATTCTCACCTTAGGCAAACTTTTCTGCAGGTCAGTTCTCTGCTTCTCTTCTTTCAGAAGGTTCCCACCCCTGTTGTTGAATCTTGAAGGGTCATTAGCCTTTTTCTAAAAGGGGAAGCATACAGCCACATGTCACCATGCCCAGAGATAAGCATTTTAAAAGCTTCCACAAAAAACTTAGAGACAGCACTCACGTCAAGCTCCAAGTACAACGTCCAGTTGTCCTGCCATTTAGTGACTCCCTCAAAGAGATCTTTGTGGTCCTCATAACACTTCTTCAAGGTCGTGATCTTAGCCTCATGTAGATTGAGGAGCTCTTCTGTGAAATCATCTGAGTAAAGAAAAGATGTACCAGAACAGTAACGCCCTCTGTGACCTTTGGTGCATATATTTGAAATAAAGCAGTCGTTATTAAAACAGACATTCACCATCATGGTATGGAGCAAAAGCTTGTTGCTGTTCGGGGCTGTAGAAACATTTATTCCATAGGAGGGCAATCTCTGCTCGGATGGCCTCAATGACACTTTGCATGCTCTGAATTTTCAGCACCTCTAGACGCTGGACCTCGGCCTGGAGCTGGAAACACAGGATACACATTATCAGAACCTTTTACGAGGGCTTAGAGGATCTGGGTGGAAAGTAAACAGACACATTATTTAAAATTATAAATCAAAAGGTAGGTTTGTACCGCTTCCATGTTTCTTTTCTTTGTGTTGATCATATGCTCTGAGAAAATTTCCCTGTCCTCTTGGGGAATCTGAAGCCGTTCCCAGAGCTCCTGGATCTTAGTGCGGTAACCTGAACAAAGGAGCTCATTCTCAGCCTTGCGGTTTTGCAACTGGAAGAAGAAGAAGAAATCACCCACGTTATTCTATGCAATACCGTAGACGGATCACATTAGAAAAGGAAAGATCACAAACTCACTTGACCGAGGAGGAGTTTGAGAGCAGCAATGTTGTCATTCGACAGGCAAAATGCCTCTTCATCCTCACAAATCACATCAGTCTCAAAACTCGTCTCTGGCTGCTGCTCCAGATCATCCATGCATACAATGATCTCCTTTTTGATGCTCATAAATTCCTTGCGACGATGCTCCTGCAGTGACGAGACAGGTTACAAACCAAAAGCAAAAACTGTAATATTAAAGAAACAAACAGAAAATCAAAAACACCTTCTCTTTGGTGAGATCATCAACGTAGGCCCGATAGCTCTCTAGCTGTGTCAATGATGGAACGGAGTCCTGGTTGATGCAAAATGGGGTAGTGCACATAACATCACACAGCTCTCGGTCTTTGACAACGAGGCCTTTAAGCTCTTCCATTCTTTGCTTTTTCTGCTCCTTCATCACCTCCAGATGTGTGCGGCAGTTCTTCTCCATCTGCAACATGCTGCAGCCATCCTCCTCCTGCAAAGAAATCCAAAAGGTAAGGCCTAACACAGATCGTCTTGTTGGTTATAAAAAAACAACAACAAAAAAAAACAAAAAAACAACAACACTCAGACACACTTCTCAAATGTAAATACCTCAAAAGGGGCCATCTGAAGCTCACTATACAAAATACTGAGTTCCTTGCGACAAGACTCTATACTTTTGAGTACTCTCTTCTTGAGCTCCTCTTCTTCTGCAATCATGAGGTCCAGCAAACCCTGAAGGCAAGAAAAACCAAAGAGGCAATTGTATGATTAGTCCTACAAGGCCAAAAGGTACCATAATGTACACCAATGTCAGAACTCACTTTAATGTGCTTGTGAACATCATTGGTTCTTTGTAGGCGCTGCTCTTCAGGAATCCCTATCTCCTCCCAAATATCCTGCAACCTGACCAGGGCTCTGTTCAGGTAGGCAACAGACTCAGCAGCGTGGACTTCACTGGAAGAGAACCAGATCCTCAAGTTTGTTAAGATACACTTTACCACAAAAGTTGAGCAATTCCTTTGTTGCAGCAGTTCAAAAATAAGCTAAATACAAAAAACATAACAAAATGGCATAAAAAAGTAGAAAGGTATACATTTCAATGAAATAAAATACAACATGACAACGCAATACAAGTAAAATTTTAATTTCATGAAGTAAAAATAAAGTTCAAGAGCTCATTAAACGGAAAAACATATCCGCGTAAAGTGTGGTGGATACTGTAATAAAATAAGCTGGTGTACACAGAGAGGTTACGGGTGTGTATTCGGGGCTAACAATCAAATCAGACAGGTTTCACTGGGTTTTTCCTGACTCAAAGTGGCCCTCGGGGTGGGGGGGGCGGCCTGTACGTTAGCAGGACTTTGATATTTTAACTGGTGTTTCAATTACTCAAAATGTAAACAAAAAAGCATATTATTTTATACTTCAGTAAGCCAGGGATTTTAAAACCAGACAGGAAACAGCTGTGTTAGCACCCGCAAAACCAGACGCAACAGCCCTTCCACCATCGACCGAGCAAACTAACATTTAAATAGTTGCAGACGGCGTAGCATATCCGTGGTATCCCTAATCCTGAACAATATGAGTGACCAAAAAACCCCAAATAGTAATGACAGCATAACCTAACGACTGCTCCGTCTCAATGTGTGAAACAGGCCGTGCGACCTTTCTCACAATTAACATTAAATGCTAAAGCTAATCAGCAAGTTTAGAACACAACTTACATAAACCACTAAGAATTATATTTATATTCAGTACTAACCTCACTCTCATTTCGCCACCGCAGACAATTGAAATGTTTTAAAAATAATCGTCCTGTTCCTGCAGACGGTCTTTTGACTCCTCAAATAAAAAAATCTAGGTTAAAGTCAGTGTAGTTGCCCGACTGCCCGTTCGTTTGTCGAGTGCATTTGAAATTTGCACCGAAACAATGCTTGGACTCTGATTGGCCGGTGAAATGACGTCAGCGGAAATAGCTGTGGAGCGGAACCAGAGAACTTGTAAAATAAAAGCTTATGCTGTACGTGCAACTTCTCCCACTTGTCCAAACGCGGGGCTGCAGCAGTCTTCAGCAAGAGGTAAATGGGGATACATTGCTTTAATGATTCATACAAAAGTGTTTGAAATGTCTGCAACAAACAAAATAAAACAAAACAAAGAAAAATAAAAGTCCTTCCTCTTAAATAGCCAGGTATAAGGACTATACTGACGAGTGAAGAAAAAGTTTTTTCCAAGGAAGGACGTTACATAGGTACAGACTAAATACACCTTTATAATTTACTCGCAGGTCATTTCGTAGCAACTATTGTACTTAATCTTTTGCATGAAGAGTGTTGTTGCGACATCTATTTAATTTACTATTCTAATGAGTTCTCTATCTTTCCAGAGAGGGACAGCTCTATTCTGCCTTTTTAACAAGGCTAGGAAAATTTTTATTTTAAGGAGTAAAACACATTTTTTGTTTGTTCAAAGACAGAAGACCCAGTTCATTTGAATAATTTGACAAAAATAGCAGAGCATTATATTTATTTACAGCATTCAGAAAATTACAATATGCATTTTTAAAACATTTATTTGCAGCTGTCACTGATCTTTTACTCTTAGTTTTGTTCTTATTCACCCATAATTTGAGTTTAAAATTAAGCTGTTTATATAGACATTAGCAAATGTCACAGATTACAAATAAATAAGGAAGGAAACATGGTAGAAAAACAAACTGAAATTGTAAATCTACAGACAAAATTTGAGTAGTTTAGCATGATTAAAGACAGCGTTTGTTCCCTTGTCATTGAGGGTACTGACGTGAATATAAGTTTCTCAACACATTCTCACTGAACTGGTAGGTTAGCTTCTTCTTCACTTTTTTAATCTCTCCGGTTTTACCATAGTTTCTCAGAGCTCGAGCCATTTTCTGGTAGGTCATTTTTTTGCGGTTTCCTTTCTGAATACCCCAGTGGTTCGCCAGGGCTTCCTTGTGTTTGGTGGAGAACTGGAAGATGCCCTTGTCCTGGTCCACCCACCAGATACTCTCACTCATGTCGCCGTTTCTTAGCATGTCCAGGAGGAACTGGTACAGACGGATTTTCTTCTTGTTGTCTGGAGTGGAAAGTATAAGAATTGCTAAAGCAATTTTATTCAGTTTACAAGGTTTATGACTGAATGTAAGAAAAAAAAGAGGTTTGAAAATACCCACTAGTGTCTCTCCTGAAGGAAGAAGGGTTATGACCTTCATATTCATCCTCGCCCTCTGATACCTCAAGCGGTGGACTGATTCCTCTCTGGTCCTCCTCTGAGTAGTACTGTCCAGGTGAGGCCGAAGGCGGGTACTGGTAGCACAGGGGTGAGGTGTAATATGGGATCTTTAGGGGAAATTTAAAGCATGTTTATGCACAGAAGTGACAGACCGGGCAACATTTTTTGTTTTGCAGTTATTCATCACCTGACATTTTCATTTAAACTCAGTCATTGTGTTAAAAGAGGAAGTTGCCGTGCCAGAATTAGAATTCAGTGCTCAGCAGTACCCAACAGTGCAGATGACATTTCAGAGGAAATATCCCAGACTGTCCACATCATGTGCTGTATTTGTGTAGATAAAATCACATTATAATCTTCTAAATCCCCGATTCAGTTCACAGCAGCACAGTTTGTTTTCATTTCTTGGCAGCAGTTGAATGATTCTGAAAGTCAGGAGCACGTACAGTTTATATACACAGTTATGTGTGAAATGGCTAATCCATTTGTTGATTAATCTGTCAACTAAATATGTTCATTACAAGTGTGTAGTAGAAAAATACCAAATATTGTCTGGTCTTCTTGGCCTGTGATTCTGCTTGGAGTATAGAAAATTGTTATAGGCAATTTTCTGACATTATGTAGGCTTCATAGTGAATGTGACCCTTATATGAGGAACATTTTAATGTCAAATGAATCAGAGTAAAGTCAAATAATTTACTGTTCAGACACGGCTATGTTCAAGACAGTGAGAATAATTACCAAAGCTTTAGGGTTTTTTTTTTTTTTTTCTGAGTTTCTTTTAATGTTTGAGGTCTTTTTAAAGACTCCAGTAAATGTATTCTCCCTCAGGGAAGAAATAATGAGCAATCAGACTGATGTGAGTCATGCAGTGTAGTAACAGTTTAGTAAATGTTTTTTTTATCACTGCCTAACATCACTGCTGCATGTTAATACCTCAATCACAGTAAAACAAATAAAAAAAAAAAAAAACCCCAGCAGTACACTTAAAAGGATTTCTCTACTTTAGAATAGTAGCTTGGGCAGTGAGTGTATCCTAATAGAAGGGGGTTCGTTACTTGTCAGGCCACTTGTCAGTAATTCCAATCACATCAATGGAAACTGTGTTTTTTCAAGCTACCATACATGGACTTACTTGTGGTGATGCAGACAGAGGAACGAGTGGAGGATCAAGTTGGAGGTACAGTGACTCACTGCCATAGCGGTAGGGTGGTATCAGCTGTGGGGGAGACACGGCCTGAAGCTCCGTGAGCGGATTCTCAAAGTCTGACGCCTGGACCCGCTCAGATTGGAAGGTCCATCTACGTTCTGAAAAGTGACCGAGGTTTAAGCACATGGCCGTATGATGAGTCACCTTCTAACACTGAAATCCAGTCTACTAACCATCGCAAATCTCCCCCACGCCGGTGAGGTAAGGGTACAGCTCCACAGACGGTCGATAGTTCTCTGCCTCATTTGCAATAACCTCCTCTGAAGCCTTTTGGGGGGGAAATATGAGATGTTGTTTCTGAAAAATTAAAAGTTTGAGTCTCTTTGTCTTTCCAAAATGTTTTCAGATATGATTTTAGAAGAACATAAAACAGACAAAACAATAAAATCAGCTGAATAAAGCAGGAGTGCAGATTATATACTGGACTTTACCATATGTTAACGGTTAAAATGCAGTGAAATAAGTATATCCTGTTTAAACACAAACAAAAATCATCTTTGCAGACATTAATAACAAATAAAATACCACCTTCAGTGTCTTAAAGCTCTACTTTGGTCACTAGAATAACCTTCAAAGGTAACTGAAAACTCAATCTAACAGAAACTCACATGGAAAACAAAATACCTTCACGATGTTGCAAACTGAAATCAAAGCCTTATCTCCTGGTGTATGACATATACATGGTAAAAAAATCAAAAGAGATCCACTTACAGATGATATAACATAGCCATCCATCATGTAAACAAGGCTTCATGAGCTTCTTGGTTCTTTAAGCTTGTGGTAATTTTTAACTTTTTCTTATTGCTTCACCGATAAATACGGAGTGTCGCCAGGCACTGACTGCAGCACGCAAATGGGAACTGAAAGTGAGAAATAAGCTGGAACATATACAGTCTGCATTCATATCCAGTTGCTAGGTTCATATGGTGAGTTAGTTCCTGATGGCCATACACCATGTTTACATGCATGCATTAAAAGTCTAAAGCCCAGTGTGCTTTTTTTGTGTGTTATAGCACACTCTGAGTGCAAAACATCTCCACATGTCTGTGAAAACATTCACACCCTTAAAGAAGACGCAGTGAGAGGAGAAGGTTATCATATATTAAATGATGAGCCCTTCCCTGCTTCAACTCTTCTCTCTCATCAGTTCAACTGATGTGATTAGAGAGACATTAACTCTAATCTTTGCACTCATTCCTAACATGATTAAACTTAAAGATAATGCAACACGTATTTCATTTAACACATCATAATTGAAGAGGAAAGCAGGCTTTATGAGATTCTAACTCTCAATTACAATGAGTATGGTTTATTCACACTGGAATTTTTTAATCGCTACTGCAGGCAGCAGTCGAAACCAAAAGTGAAGTTTGGACCAGCCTTGTTCCTCTTTTTGTTTGGCATTATGGTTTCAATTGAGGAAGTTCTGACCATGAGATGAAACCAGTGAAAAAAAGACGGAAAGAGCTGGACTCACTTTGTCCCTGTAACTTGTCTACGTTTTTATACATACAACACTGAGATTTTTATAACCACCTTCTGACTTTTTTTTCTGGCATGGAGGTGGATTTTTATGACTTCTTTTAAAATAATCGAATGAGTCAAACATTATTACGCTGTGCTTTGACATCTTTGCCTCTGTTTAATGGAAACTTACCAGAGGCAGTCTGCTGGCTGTGATGAAACTGTTTCCTGTGAGCACACCACAGGGAGAAAAGCAGGTTGTTTGTCTGCATTTTTGTGTTTCACGGAACACATCAGCTGAGGTGCCTTGAGACATGGTCTATTAAAAGACGGCAAAGGTTCCTTTATTTTGTTTAACCCCAGAAAATCGTGTTTATGACGACTGCAAACCGTGACCCACGGTGCGTAAAGTGCAGGTCTGGGGCTTCTCGTGCTTTTAAATATTTGCTCTGTCTCCATCTACTGGAAAGAAACGTTGAACTGGCCAGTATCTAGGCTAGACTGAGTTCAGAGGCATAGAGGAGACAACCAAAATAGCACATCGAGGCCCAAATCTATTTATCCTCCGCCCCCGAATGTGGCTCTTTTAGGGGATGCTTGACAAATTAGAGAAATGAGGGCTTCGCCGATTTATCAGCATTTCCGATTTCCAAGTATTGCCAAATTTCCTCCCCACCTTAGACACTGACATCAGCAGCAGCCAGGAGCGGAGTCCCGCTGTCCCGTGGAAATATCACGGCACCGAGGCGAGATACGCATGGAACATGGCTGCTATGAGGACTTTAACCGTGGCAGGTCTGTTTTTGGCTTTTTGCGCTTTGGGACTGATCGCGGTGGCGATCAGCACCGACAACTGGTACGAGACTGACGCCAGGAGGCACCGGGAACGCTGCAAGAATTACTCAAACAAAAGAAACGACCCCGGCTACATTTACATCTCCAACAACAACCTTCCGCTTCGGATGCTGCCAAAGGAGAAAAACGTTGAAAGAAAGGGCTCCAGTGTCAGCGGCGAAATGCTGCTGCGGGCTAAGCGGCACTTCTTGCCTCCTGCCCCGGCAATGGAGTCTCTCTGCAGTCGGCATTTCAACTCCACCGTCACCGGACTGTGGAGAAAGTGCCACAGAGAAGGGTTTGACTTGGAGACGGAGGATTTGATCTTTAAAGGTTTGGTGTCGGGCTTCGTGTTTTTGTGCTGTAACGTGTTTGTTTCGGAAGCTTTGTGTCGAGTGACAGGCGCTGTCGGTAACAATACTTTGTGCACGAATGCGCTATCCAAGGTGCTGATGCTGCGCAAAGACCCTCGAGGCCTACGCAGTATCGCACGGAGTACAGTTACAATGCGATCGACGTGCTGTTTTTTTCTCTCGCCCCAGCACAAAAGGGCAGCCTGTAGTAACAGAAGCCTCGGGATGCGTACAATAAGCTACTCCACAGTGGTGTGGGTGGATGGGTGGGCGGTGGTGGTGGTGGAGTGGGGACTGGGTGCGTATTTTTGGGAGGTGGGGGGTGGCAGGAGCGAGCCTTGTGATATCCTCTTCATCTCGTCTCAGTGCTAATGTGAGACATCCTTTTTGTGTTGTTTACATCCACAGGATTGGTTCCACGCTGCACACCAATAAAATACTACTACTCATCATCAGAGCTCCCCAGAAATCTGCCAATCAATCTGACGAAGACAATAAGGCAGGATGAGTGGCACGCGCTTCGTGAGTTACCTCTTTTTAATCTGATGAATTAATGTAGAAAAACTGAGCACGCCCCCTGACATACACGGTGTTTTCTGCTGTGCCTTTCTTTTTTTTTGCAGATCTCCAGAGGATGACTGCCAGTTTCATAGGAATGGCCATTTCCATCATCATGTTTGGCTGGATCATAGGCGCTCTGGGCTGCTGTCAAGACCACGATCTGATGCAGTATGTCGCCGGACTTCTCTTCCTCATGGGAGGTAAGAAGTTCTTTACATAAAGAGCACTGCCCCGACTCACCGCAGAGGGGCGGTGTGGTCTTTATTAACCGTGGCGCATCAAAACTGGGGGATCAAATCGGGTTGCTGACTTGTTTCATCCTCGCTCTCTGGCAGGGACGTGCTGCATAATCTCCCTTTGCACGTGTGTGGCCGGAATCAACTTTGAACTGTCCCGCTATCCGCGCTACATGTTTGGCATACCAGAGGACATCAGTCATGGTTACGGCTGGTCCATGTTTTGTGCGTGGGGTGGACTGGGCCTCACGTTGCTGGCTGGCTTCCTGTGCACACTCGCTCCCTCCCTCTACCCCCCACAGGCCAGTGCGGTGCACAAGCCCAGACAGGAGAACGGCTGTGTGTGACAGGCCGCGGGCATACCAAACAGACACCTGTCTCATCTGTGAAACAGTGACGAGCCCTGTTCCAGAGACAGCTTCACCCAGGGACTCAGAGAGAAGAGAAAGCCTTCACTTAGCCAGGCACAGAGAAAGCATGGGACACTTGCTCGCACTCACATGGGAAATGATAAAGAGGTGACATTTGACTGAAGACGGTTTCAGTTCCTCTGGTGCTTTTTGATTTTTTTCTTCTGTCCCTCTTTATAAATAAACTGTTGAGTGTCATTGCTTGCTCTTCAAGAGGAGAATATAACAATTTCTTCTTGTAAAATCTGCTAGTTTGAGAAGAAAAACAGAATAAAAAAGAGAAAAAGATGCACTGGCAGGAGGTCAATAGCACAACTTTCAAATGGGAACTGAAGATCAAACCATGGACTTGTAATTCACATTTCAAAGGGCAACTGTGTATCATTATGTACCCATTCAAAACAAGATATGTACATGTACTTTATGAATTGTATGTATGCAGATGCATTTGTGTTTATTCAAGGAAAAAAAATAATGAGCATTAGACCAAACTGTGTTTGAGGGAAGTGTTTTGTTGTTCTTGAGGTCTTACCCCTGTCGGAATATTTTTGAAAAATAAAAGAGCCATGCAAAAGTATTTTTTTCCCTCCCCCCTCATGTAATGCACTGAACAGACATCATATAAAAAGAAACAAAAGCAAAAAAAACCTTTGTGGTTGTCTTATGTCTTAACATGTGTTCACTGTTATGCCAGCAGGCAGAAGAGGCCTGCTAACCGAGTCAAGGCGTTTACAGCATTGTTTTAAAACTGCAGCTGAATTTATTTCTCTTGGTGTTACGAGGAGCTGCTTGCAGGCCACCGTTTTATGCAACCACTTCTAAATGCTTAAATGTGCAAATGTCAGTGGCCAAAATGTGCGTCAGTGACCAAAACTGAGTGACAAAACTGACAGAAATAAATCAGTCCAAATTTAATAGAACATGAAAGTGAAGTAATTTTTTTTCCGCCTGCACGCTTCAGTGGAAATTCAATCTATGTTTATAAACAGCAGGGCCACATAAAATGAGGAATGTCCGGATAACTTCATCCAAAGCTCTCGGATCACAACATGCTGACAATTCACAGATTAACACACTGATGTTGCTGATAATTTTTCAAGGGTTTTTTTTTTTCATGCGTACTAGTTTTAAGAAAAAAATTAATCGTTCTGACAGCTAATTCAAATATTGGCTTCACTCATTTCCTGAACTTTTGCTGCTCATCGGTGCTATTCTGTTGCTCAGATTGTGGCAATCTTCATCTGCAGTCTTCAAATAAATCCCTGTTGTTGATTAGGCACAGTGTTTGTTTACTTAAGTCACTGGAGATTTAAGTAAATAGACACTCTCCATCATAAATGAACAAAATATATTCAGTGATAAAATCATTTGCCAGAGGATGCACAGACTCTCTTAGTGGACCGTTAATTCATTGCAAAGAGCTCCTTTTTATTCCGTTAACAGCCCCTGGAAACATGAAAACATTTTTCATGTAAACAAACAGTAGTCCTCTGTTGTAAATGTATCTAACTGTTCAAACGAATTGTGAAGACTGGTTTGTTTTGCAGTGTTACAGTGTCTGGTATCAATGATACAAAGGACTGTGTGGTTAATGAGGAGGAATCATACATGTCCTACATGTGCCCACATCATTAAAAAGTCATCCGGTGCTGTAGGTGGTCTAATTATGCTACATACCCATGGCTTGTTGGCCAAAGTGCATTCAATTGCTTGAACTTTAAGTATGCTTTGCATTAAAAACCCCAACCCCAAAAGTGACTAATACCATGTCAGATAAGTGGAGTAAAAAGCGTGTATGCTTTTCTCTATATAAGGTCATATGGGACTCTGTGGAGTCTTGTGAAAAGAAAAGCTAAATGCAGCCCATGATTCAGTAGCTTGTAGCCAACTTTTCTTTACAGCGTGGCTTCAGTTCACTGAGGGACTCATTTATGCACAGCTCTCTTAAGGTCCTATCACAGCATTTCAAACAGGTTGAGGTCTGGACTTTGGGCCATTGCAACATCTTTGTTCAGC